ATGTTATACATGCATTTTCGGAGAGCTCTCCACCAGACGGTTCCAACGCCGCCGTTTTCGGCGCTGTGAGTCTTCCTGCTGTTGAGAAATCGAGCTTTGAAAAATGGTCCAGGGTGTGTGTTATCTTGTGTCATTTAACGACGAGAGGGCGTCGTTGTCGAGGTGGCCATGTCGCTGTTGATGGCGAGGGTACACGCGCCAAGGCCGTATGCAAGAAGGCCGGGAGCGGAGGCGGCCTATTGCTGTTGTTGTTGTTGCTGCTGCTGCTGTTGATGTTGATGTTGATGTTGTTGTCTTAACACTATAATATGTACCGTTCCGGTGTTGGCTCATAGCTTATAATATTCGCACTGGTCTATTTGTAACAATTAACTTGCAACGCGGACGCCCCCCGGTATTGTTCGTGTGCGAAGAAACAGTCGGTATGTATGTGCTTGTACCTGATGAAATATGTGACACAGCAAAACGCGGCGGCTTTTCGCCTGCTGTGTTGTTCGTGCGAACAACCACCAACCATGGTTTTTGCCGCGCAGTATCTCTCACTGTTGCTTCTTCAAAGGCTCTGGTGAAACTTATTCATTTTTGTCTTCCCTCTTGTCTCCTCAACGCCGATGCATGCATGTCACGTGCAAGACCGTGTTGTTTAGTTGATCTCTCTCTCTCTCTTTCCCTCTGGTACCGGGCGAAAAAAAAAAAACGTCCCCCCCCTCCCCCTCCCCTCTGACCTCTCATGTCGCGTCCCCCCCTGTGCTCGTGATTGGCCACAATACCTACCGTGTTGCAGGGATTGTAGGTGTACCTCCTCGGGCTTGTGTACCCTTTTCTTGCTAATAGTGTGCGTGTTCTTTAGATCTTCTGATGGCTCTAGCATTTTTGTGACCACGGGCCGAGTATTTGCTAGATTTTGGGACTAGCAACTGGCACGAGTTTAATGTAAAGAAAACAACAACAACAACAACTACCGTTTCGTGCGGCACTTTCGCACGAGCAGGAGTAGTAGCCATGCCTGTGCTACGGACGACGACGACGCCCGCCACTGCTGCGCGAGCGGGAGCGGAGCAAAGAAGAAGTATGACGATTATCACCGATGCAAGGACGCCCGCACCAGCAGCAGCAGCAGCAGCAGCACCATTGGCGGCGGCAGCGGCGGCGGTAGCAGCCGGACGAGAAGGGCCGGAGAGGAGAGGTAGTGGTGGGTGGAGCTCATGCCGCGGCAAGCGGCGTCCGACAAGCAGTACGGCGGCGCCAGCGGCGCTGCTGCTGTTGGTTGTCGCCGCCGCCGCCGTCGTCTCCTGCTGCTGCGTGGGCGTGGCGGAGGCGTTCGTGGCACCCGGGGCTGCTGCTGCTGCTGGTGGTGGTGCTGCTGGTGCCGTGTGGGGTTCTGTTGCCGGGCGAAGGTGTGTGTATGGTGTTGTACTGCTGTGTTCATGTATGGCTTCTTTTCTCCGCAAGGCTTGTTGGGAAATCTACAGACGATCAAATTGAGAAAGACTACCGTTCGAGATTTAAACGCAGGTCGTTGCCGTGCGAAGGTGTGTGCATGGTGCTGTGCTGCTGTATGTGCGTACAGCTGCTTTTCTCCGCAAGGCTTGTTGGGAAATCTACAGACGATCAAAGAGAAACGACTCGTTCGAGATATAACCGCAGGCTTGTTGCCTGTCATTGCCGGGCGAAGGTCTGTGCATGGTGCGGTACTGCTGTTTGTATGGCTGCTTTTCTCCGCAAGGTTTGTCAGGAAATCTTCAGACGATCAAAAGAGAGACGACCCGTTCGAGATATGACCACGGGCTTGTTGTTTCCACGCGGCAGTCGCGGTTGTTTGTTGCCTGTCTCTACCTATCGCCTATCTCTCTAGTAGGGGAAGGAGGTGTGATGTTTTCGCGAAAGCATCAGCGCAACACGATGGAGCATGTAGCTCGCAGGGAGCTAAGGCAGTCCGGCGCTTTTCCTCTCGCTTCACGCCGAAAAACCCGTCTTCTCCTCTCTCCGATGTTTGCTCTCGCCTTCAGAAGATTTGTCTATAATACCCATGATCGAGAGGGCCACGGCTACCTCCAGCTGGTATTTAGTCTATGCGAGAGAAAGTCCTCGTTCTGTTCCTTCTGTTTTCATGGAAACTTCGGTTCTTATCTACATCGTCCAGAGTACGCTGCCACCATTTCTCGAACCACCCGTGAAAGCTCGGTTCAAACCTCCACCGCAACCTCTCACCCCGAAGCTTTATCCCCATACGTTGCCTTGCTGCTGCTATTTCTTGGAGGAGATTTGGCGGTGTCGTCACTGCCGTTGTAGGTGACGTGAGATATCACACCCCCTGTACCAATTTTCAAAGCTCGATAGAAAATGCCGACATTGACGTATACGTTTTCGGAAAGCTCTCCACGAGACGGTTTCGATGCCGCCATTTTCGGCACCATCACTGCTTTTCCTGCCGAGATATCGAGCCCAGGGTGTGTGGTATCTTACGTATGCGACCTACGGTATTCATCTACTGATACGTTTTCGGTGTTCGGTAAGCTCTCGACGAGACTGATGTTCCAGCGCCGACGTTTCGGCACCTCCGTTCTTCCAGCTTCGAGGCATTCATTGAGCTGTAGAATCGATCGGCCCAGGGGGTGTGATATTTTGTGTCAACTACATACTTCCGTTGATACGTACCCCCTGTGGACTCGTTTTGACAGCGGGCTCGCGTTGGTACAGGAAAAACAGTGATGGGCGTGTTGTACGTTAATTCTCGTAATTTTTGTTTTTGTTGCTGTTGCTGTCGGTCGTTGCTGTGGCTGAGGCGATTGCTGCTGCTGCTGCTGCTGCTGCTGCTGCTGCTGCTGTTGGCGCCGCTGTCGTTGTTGCTGTTGTGGTTGATTGTTGGCGACTGCGGGTTCATTCTGACCTCTACACAGCATCACACTCATGCGAAGGAGATAAATCGAATTTCCGGGGTCCACGACCTGCAAGTAGCGCTAGGAAACGACCGCGGGCGGCGTGGCTGCAGATATTCTCGAGTGTGACATCGGCAGGGTCGTGGTGGCACCTCTAGAAGACGCTGGAGACGAACGTTGTTCCTACCGTCATCATGCCTCTCTGTCTGCTTGCCTGTCTTCCTGTCTCTCTGTCTGCCTGCCTCCCTTCGTGCTTTCGGCCCCTGACGTCCCCGCCCAACCCCTCCCCCCCCCTCGCTCCCCAACCCTTTCCCTCGTTGTCTCTATGTAGACCTTTGGGGCTACTGACATCGCCGTTTCCCACCACTTCCGCCGGGCCGGGGAGGGGATGCGGGGCTTTCATCCCCTCCGCAGCAGCCAAGACGCCGCTCATTCGGCCACAGCAGCGGCAGTACGCACGGCAACAAGCGGTTTTCGGGACGGGGAGGTGTGTTGGTAGCGAACGGGGACACGGGGCGACAGCAGCAGCAGGAGTCTTCTCGAGAGAGAAGAAGAGCGCTTCGGCGGCGTTGTCGATGGTGGCGACGGGGGCGGGCGCGGGGAGGGGGTCCGCGGTTGCGGGAGGGGGGGGTGGCGGTGCCGGCGGCGGCGGGGTCGCGGGCGCGATTAAGGCGGGTGTGCTCGCCGTGGGGTCGGTTCTGGTGTCGGTTCAGCCGGCCATCCTTGTCCTCGCAACTAAGGTAAGACACGGTTGTGAGTCGGTTCTCGTGTCGGTTCAGCCGGCCATCCTTGTCATCGCAACTAAGGTGAAGACATACGGCGGCATACAGACGTAGGTCCCGGTTTAGCGGTCCGTAGTGTCGCAAAATGTTACAATAAAATGTTATGAACGCTATTCAGGGCATCCATCTACACGGGAAACCGCTACAAACCGGCAGCACGACTGTAATATAGCTTTGTGAACGCTTGTTCTTTTCGTTGAGGGTTCGCTTGGGTACTGCTGTTCGAATCAAAAACACGTCAACCAGCTTCTGTGGGCTGTTCGAGTTTGGGAAACGTCGCACCGCAGTAGCCGGAAGCAAGCTTTGGGTTGGTCCTGCCGCTCCCCTGATTTTTGTTTTCATGTTGCGCCACACCCTCTTGATGGCCCTGCTGTGCTTGCTCTCTCATGAGCCCATGCCGGAGGTGTCACTTGTGTATATATATAATACATTAATTAGGAGGGTCGTGCAACCATTGCTGTTGTTGTTGTTGTGTCTTCACATTGAAGAGCCGGTCTCGTCTCAACTGCCTTCTAATGTCCGTAAAAATGGTCCACCCTGCGGCGACGGTTTTGGCTTGTGCTGCTGCTGAAGCTGACAGTTTGCTCCAAAATTGTGCTGGATTGGCTCTCTCATCAGTACCTACCTACCAAGCGCATGCATTTTTTTTTTTTTCTCCCATCATTGGATTCTGTCGTCTGCCCCTCTGGTCCCTATCCTCCACTTCTACTAGCTAGACGACCCAACCGGGGTCACATAGGAGGGGGGGGTTGGACCCCCTCCTGCGGTTCAAAACTGAGATATTTTTATCGCGAGAAGGGTACAGCAATCCGTTCCCTCGCGACTCATGAAGTCGATCGAGTTTACTAACAACATGTATGTATGTGTGTCGATTTTCTTTTTTTAATTCCCCCCGCTCACGTTTATTTTGCGTCAAAAGACACGAACGACAAGAGAACGGAGGCGGTGATTTAAGTAGTGGAGCTAGCAAGCTCGCCTGTATTTTTTTTATCGCTCTCTGTATTCATAGGAAGTAGTACCTTTTTCTCTCTTTTGATTGTACACCCGCAGGCGGTGATGAAGCTAGCAAGCTCGCCTGTTTTGCTTTTTACGCGATGTATTTTCATGTGAAGTGCCTTTTTGTTCTGCCCTTTGGTTGTACACCCGCAGGCGGTGATGAAGCTCGTGGCCTCCTGCGGAATAGGGTACTACTTCAGCAAGAAGGGAATCCTCGATCAGGTACTTTGTTTGTTTTGTCTTGTTTTTTGCGTCACTTTTAAGTCAGCGCTCACACTCAGCACTTGCCAGCTCCTATGTGTGTGTTGGTAGCATCGACCGCGCCAAACCGGCCGGCCGATGAAAAATACGTAGTTTTCTGTGCAGCGGAAAAAAAAACAGCAAGTGCCTCGGAAGAACTTCATCTGGGGCGGACCACGCGTATGTGCGTGTGTCTTCATTATTAGCATCGACCGCGCTAACCGGCTGACCAATGAAAAGACGTCAGTCTCGGCGGGGTTGAAAACACAAAACACTTCTAACTGCCATTATATGGGGCCCCGTGAGGGGGCGGCATGGGAGAGGCTAAACTATTCTCCGGATCAAAGACAGAAACGGTACATAGCAACAAAAGAATAATGCACGTGTCTACGAAGGCTGCTACCCTTGCACTCGATTTCGTTTTGGAGTGTTTTCACCGTCATCCTCCTTGCTTCCAACTCCATCGTTCTCATTATCGTTTTGTGTGTGTGTGGCGCGGACTGCTGTGATTTTTTTCATCACTTTTTTTTTAGTCAGCGCTCACACTCAGCACTTGTTTCGGGTACATGACCGTAGGTGACACAAGATAGCACACCCCCTGGACCGATTTTCGAGGCCCGATTCCTCGCTTTGCAGAAAGAGTCATAACGCCGAAAACGACGGCGTTGAAGCTGTCTGGTCGAGAGAAAGCTTTCCGAAAATGTATCGTTTCGTTTATGCATCATTTTCGTCGTGGGCTACTCGAGCTTTGGAAATCGGTCCAGGGGGTGTGTTATCTGGTGGCGTAAATTGTAGCTAGCTCCGTTCCGTGGTCGCACAGACATGTGCACAATGCTCTCGACCTATAACCATGCTCCTACAGTAGTACATGCAGAATAGAAGACTGGAAGTGTTTCGTAAAACCGGGGTTTCTTCAAAGGCGAAAGAACAAGGTATTGTGCCAGATCTCTTTCTTTTGACGCCAAAGAGATCATGCCCAACCCGTACCCGCGCTCCCTCGAGAATCGGAGGGGTGTTACACGATGTATGGTCCGTTTTTAACCCTGTTCAGAAAGCGCTTGCCTGAACTCGTAGCTATTGGTTAAATCCGGGGGGGTAGGGCAGGCCCACGAAACATGCATTAACGATAACCTTCTCTTGTCACCACTTTTGACGCCGCTGCTGCTGCTACTGCTGCTGCTGCTGCAGAGCGCCATCACGTCCCTGTCGAAGCTGATCTTCTTCGTGTTCCAGCCGTGCCTGCTGTTCGTCAATGTGGCCTCCACCCTCGGCACCCCGGGCCAGAAGCTGTCAAAGCTGCTCGTGCTGCCCGTCTTCGCGGTCCTGCAGATCCTCTTCGGCTCCGCCGTCGGAAAAGTAAGCTTCGACGGGGTCGGAGGGGGTACTCATGTTTTGCATTCCTTAGCGGTTAGACTATTGACCACGCGTCCTCTCTAATTGTTTTTCTTGTGTGGGGGTACTCATGTGAGCGCATGCCGTAGTCGTTAGACCATTGACCACGCGTCCTCGAGAGGGCGGAGCAGGTCGGGGGGGGGGGGGGGGGGGGGGGGGGCT